TTCAGTGAATCTTTTTCAGTTGCAAGGGGATTAGAGAGGTTGAGAAGAGTGCCTATCATCTGTTCCTGAAATGACTGCAGTGGTTGCTCCATCTAGAATTCCTGGTCTGGTCAGTACAAACTGAATTGGCTGCATTGACATGATAGTAGATCAACATTGGTCAAAGATATTTCTTTTATTCAGACAGATTTTGGCACTGCTTGCCAAAAAACTGCATGGATTAAACTTTTTGAAGATTCAATTCAGGCATGCCAGTTTATGTTCACAGATTGCAAAGACAGATACCTGATCCAAGATTTTAATATCTAAAGCTAAGGATTTGTTGCCTATATTTCATTCCATCACCACCACCCCCAGAAAAAAATGTCTTCCATTATCACATGGGAATATTGAAGGTTCCTAATACAATAATTGCAACAACACAATAATGACTATCTTTAGGTCTATTTATACTACTGCTGTCCTTGAATAGGAATCTACTCTGCACTAAAGCTTCACATCCTAGATGTTATTTAAAAGTCACCACAAGCTTAGGTTATTATTACATCTGTTGAAAAGAATTAAATCCAGAGGCTCAGATAGCTGGCAACATCTGGAGTAGGAGAGATGTGCTTGGCCAGATGCAAGTTCATCTTGACATTAAGAGTTAGAGAAGGAAAGAGGAAATAGTGCATGCCTTTTCTTTTTAAGTGGCATATGAATATCCCAGCACAGCCTATTTTCTAATCCCAAAGTCTTCAATAGTTAATTAATGCATAGACTATTGTGATATAAGACAAATTATTATAATTCAGTCAATCAAGAATATTTTTATATGTGTACATGTGTAGGTAAATTTAATCCACCCAAATCCAATAAAGAAGAAAGAAGAGGGAGAAAGGGAGGGGAAGACAAGAAGGAATGGGGGTAGAGGAAGATAACAACAGCTGAAAGCTCTCCATATATGGCATAAAGTCCCATGTCTTCGTTGGTAAGACAACTGTCTACTACTAAATATGACAGGACGGACGCTTTGCTAGATACAGAGTGGAGGAGGTGATAGGAGAAGCTTTGTAGATAAATAACGTCCAGCTCTGTTTCTCTCCTCAAGCTGTTCTCAGTCTAGAGGGCCAAACAGAGGAATATGCAGCAGAGAAAATGTATAGCATTTTAGATTAGAGGTAATTGGGTAAAAATAAAATTCCCAAGTCTCGCCCGAGATGGTCAAGTTGCTTTCAAATGAAAATTTAATAGCCCAAGCATTCTTTGATAGAACTCACAATAACCAGAAATACTGATTGTCAGTAGCTTTTGGCACTACAACTTTTAACAAGATGTTGGATGGGATGGTAGCCCTTCATTTATCTTTCTTACTCTTCTTCCCTCTCCAGCCAAGTGTGCACTCAGGGTTTAAAGAGAACTTGAGAAGTTTCTAGAAAATAGGATGAATGGTGCATGGCGAGATCATTGCATAAAATGTGCTGACTGATAAAAGACAGATTTCATTTGCCACACTTCTTTTTATCAAAAGACACTTTGAGAAAGCAAAAATGGAAGAGGGGCATTATATTAAACGGGCTCTACATTGCACCTGAGGGTACAGAATAGATTTTTTTTTTCTGCCAAGCAAAGCTGACTGTTAACTTTTAGTGGTGACTGGTTTATTGACTGCTAATGCTTTAAAAATGAGATTAAATCAGGTCCATGGTCTTTATTACAAGGAAGATATATGCCCCTTGTGAATTCTAGTGGTTTGGCAATCTTAACCTCAGCAGACATAACATTGATGTATTCTGTGTTGCCAAACAGCATGGTAAGTGTTTAAAATGCTGTGAACGGCCTTATTGCCTTGAAATGATACAATCTAATATTAGATTGTAACTCAGTGACTGAATTTGTGAGCCTATCCTTGTACAGAATACTAAAGTCCAAGACACTTTATTTTAATATCTCGCAGAGAAGGAATCGTTCTTCATTTCGCCATTGAAAGATAGAACACGTAAAAGTGGATCTAGATTGCAGGAAAACTAAAACTGCAACATATTAGGCCATTTTCATTAACGGCGCGTATTGCAGCTGCCTTTCATAGTAAGGCATCAAAATGCCAGCCAGATTTACTCCAATCTGAGGAACTACTTTGGTTATTGTGGACACCTGACAGGTGGGATCTGCAAGGCCAGAAATTTTCTAATGACAGAAGGTCAAGTTGCACCCATTCCACTTCATTTGGAGCATTCTGGGCAAGCAACTTTTGCCTAATCCACAGCACATATTCCACTGGCTCCTCTTAATCATAATTAACTTTCAATCCTGTCTATACTTTATCCTCATCAATCAAATTGCATGTATCACTCTAAGGTCCAGGTAGCTAATAGGCTTGGTTTTCATGATCAGGGTCAACCATCCTAGTTTTTCCTTGGCACTGAGAGGCTTCCCAGGACATGAGACTTTCAAGTGCTAAAAGCATGTCGGTAAACCAGAGTAAACCAGAATTACCGGCCACTCTGCCTCTGGCTGAGGACCCTACCCACCAGGCCATCTTTGTTGAGGTGAAATCTAGTTTAAGTGAATATAAAAAACTCTGCCTGGGTCAGTTTGGGCTGCTGTAACAAAGCAGCTGGGCTGCTATAGGGTGGCCTATAGACAACAGATGTTTATTTCTCACAGTTCTGGAGGCCGGAAGCCTGAGATCAGAGTGCCAGCATGAGTGGTTTCTGGTGAGGGCCCTTCTGGGCTGAAGACTACCGACTTCATGTTCTACCCATGCATGGTAGAAAGAGCAAGAGTGCTCACTGAGGTTCCTTTTATAAGGGGACCCATCACATTCATAAGGGCTCCACCCTCATGACCTCATCACCTCCCAAAGGCCTCCCTAATATGTCCCCACAGAGGCTTAGGATTTCAATATACACATTTTGGGGGGACAAAGCAGTCAGTCTACTAAAGAGTCCTCAGCGAGAAAAAGAAGCCACAAAAGAGTGATTTGAAGCTGGACTTGGGGACTGATTGCATAACTATGAGATCGAATTATTTATAGTACCACTGGACAAAATTGCCTCTTTCAGGTTACAAGTGTCTTGAACCATCACTAGAAGAGTTTATGAGGGAGTGGTGGTCCTGCCCGATTGTCCTAGTTGCTAGGAGAGAGAAATGAGTTGAGAAATGAGTTCTCACTGTCATCAGTCTTCCAGAATGACACTATACAAATAAATAGGACCTGGAAAAAAAAATAACTGCATAACAGCTGTGTGTGTGTGTGTGTGTGTGTGTGTGTGTGTGTGTGTGTGTGTGTGTGTGTTTAAACCTAAGAACTAAAGATTAAGTTGAAAGTAGCCCTTCAAATCTGGTTACTCATTTGATAGCTTAAATTTATTGCAGGTTGGATCCATTTGCCTTGCTTTATGGTCCATACCAAAATTTAAAAAGATAAAATCATAGCCCACATTTTAGTTAAATCATTATAGAAACAAGTAAAAATCTGATTCTCCTCCCTGCAGGTTTAACATTGAAGGGGCCAAAATAAACAATGGGAGCTGCCTTGTAACAAGAATAGTAGAGGAAAAAAATAGCAATATCATAGATTTCAGAATATTCAATTCTGTTTTGTCAGAGTTGACATGGCTTCCATGTATCCAGTAAAAAGAAAAACTATTCATTTTATCACACAGTTGTTGAGCCAACATGTTACCAAGCATCAAGACATTTGGAAGCACTAACGGAAATTTTTATTTCTCACTTGAGATCTATATGTTGTGGGTCATGCCATTATAATTAAAATAAACTTCATTGCTTTGAAGGCAAAATAAATTGACTCTGCAAAATTTAGCATTAATGAAGCTGTAAAATGAAATTAATTAGGAAATTATTTTTCTAATATTTTTCTATTGATGAAAAGTCCTCCCTCAGACATAAGTATAAATCAACTTGAGACAGCCTTGTTTTTTAAAATCTCATAATACTATGCTGATGGTTGAGTTCCTCCTACTGTTTTCTAATCTAATTTAAGGAGAAAAGATAGTCAAGATCATGAGGGAATAAACATGAATCTTTTCACACCTTTCCTTTCTTCTTAAAACTGTACATTGTTGGTAGGAATGGGTATTAATTAGTACAGCCATTATGGAAAACAGTATGGAGGTTCCTCATAAGACTAAAAGTAGAATTGCCATACGATGTAGCAATACTACTCCTGGGTATATATCCAAAGGAATTGAAATTAGTGTGTGGAAGAGATATCTATACTCCCATGTTTACTACAGCATTATTCACAATAGCCAAGATATGGAATCAACCTAAGTGACCATCAGTGGATAAATGGATAAAGAAAATGTGGTGTATAGATATACCATATGATATATATCTATTCAATTCAAAATTCAATTTTATATATACATATATATATGTAATTAAATATTCTTCAACCATAATACAAAGAAGGAAATCTTGGTATTTGTGACAACATAGATGAATCTGGAGGATATGAGACTAAGTGAAATAAGCCAGGCACTGACAGAAAAATACTGCATGATCTCACTTGTATGTGGAATCTAAGAATGTCACCCCCATAGAAGTAGGTGGTAGAATGGTGCCTACCAGAGTCTTGGGAGAGTGAGGTGTGGGGATGGGGAGATGTTGGTCGAAGGGTACAGAATTTCAATTAGAAATGAGAAACACACTTTTAAGATCTACCTCACAGCATGATAACCGTAGTTAATAATAATGTAACGTATATTTCAAAATTGCTAAAAGAGTACATTTTAGATGTTCTCATAAAAAAATGATAAGTATATGAGGTAATAAATATGTTATTTAGCTTGTTATAATCATTCTACAATGTATACATATATCGAAACAAGATTGTATCCCATAAAAATACACAATTATTATTTGTCAATTCAAAATGTTTAAAATGTACATTGTTTTTGCAAAGATTATTTTCTTATCCTCCCCTCCCCCCCCTAAAAAAGGAATATGAAGAAGAGGTGGAGAAGGAGGAGGAAGAGAAGGAAGAATCCACTGACCTGCTACTGCGACTTTTGCTGTCCGACTAATAATTGATCCAGAATCTCCTAAAGATGCCTCGCATTGGTAAAGTCCTTCATCTGGCTTATGGTGTCTGGAATGAAATATGTTTTGTATCAACAGAGACCCATTTGACAGTTGCTGCTTCCTTTCATCCATCCCCAAGGCTAGGTGGATGCCATCTTTCTTCCACTTGATGACTGGAACTCCCCGGTCGGACTCCGCAGAGCAGTCGAGGAGGACGCTTCCTCCCCGCATCGTGACGGCATCAGAAGGTTCTGAGAGGAAGCGCAGTGCTGTGAAGGCTTTAATTTGGAAACCTGCAACAAGAGAGCACAGGGAAACGTGTTCATCTATTCCAATAAATCTCAAGCTTAGATTCCCTGCATTATTTTTTTTTATCAAACTTTTTCAAAAACGCTAGGCGGTTTGAAAAATGTCCAAGAATAAAAGAAACTTAAAATCACGGCTGTGGTGTTAGGTGGATAAAAAAGTACCCAGCTGAGGTAAACAAAAGTAATGAAACAATTGGCTCCACAAGTCATATTATGAGAAATTAAGAATTCATATAAAAATGTAGGCATGGTTATTACTACGTATCAGTCAGGACTTGAAAAGTGAGACAGAAAAAAGCTAATATTTTCCAAATAAACCTAGTTATTTCAAAGTAACAGTAGTTAGTAATGTGGTATCTACAATTTAGGGGACTGTTTGTATCCCTTTATTCAGATTATAGCATCCATTTTCTTTAAAAAAATCTACTTAGAATTGCTTTTTATAAAAATAAAAATCAACTCTGAACTATGTTAGCAAAGTTATTTAGAATAAAACTCAGGTGGGCCTTAAAATAGGCAAATCCCACTTGCAGAAGCAAGTCAATAAAACTGCTGCCTAAAATCACAAATCCCTGAAGTGTCTTACTTTCCATCCAAATGTTTCTCATGAGCCTGGAAATCTAAGTTGGATTTTTTTCCCCATAAACATAAACGAACATAAAGAATCAACATGAGAAATAGAAAGTCATTTAAGAATCTTGAGGGGATGAAGCAAATATAATTAAAGCATATTCTTTTGGGGGCTGGCAGTAGCATATGCTAGAACACTTGGCTGTTAAATTAAAGAACTTGAAGAGGTCTTGGGGTGGGTCATTCTGCCCACCCTAGCTCAGACAGGTGTATACCTAAATCATTCATGTGAAATTACTTACAATTTCATCTCGAATAATGTTTGGAGCTAGAGATTCTACAATGTCCCTTGGTATCTTGTTTTCAATATTTAATCATTTTTAAGAGTCTAACTGAATTTTCTTGCCGTTGTTTAATCCCATTTTCTCCGGAACCACTTTGTGTGAAAATGCAGAACAGATGAACATTTTCTGATAAGAGCCCTTTATTATTTGTAGCAGTGTTTTATTTCTTCAAAAATACCCCCCAAATTATGTTTTAGCCTTCATTTTTCTCAGGATGGCAACCTCAACTTGCTAGCTTTCTTCTTCTTTTTTTGTTTTGTAATGGGAAGACTTTTAGTTGTACTTTATAAAAACATTCCAAGTTTCTATCATTCAAAAGACATGCACCTAGGCTGGGCACGATGGCTCACGCCTGTAATCCTAGCACTCTGGGAGGCCGATGTGGGTGGATTGTTTGAGCTCAGGAGTTCGAGACCAGCCTGAGCAAGAGCGAGACCCCGTCTTTACCAAAAATAGAAAGAAGTTAATTGGACAGCTAAAAATATATATAGAAAAAAAATTAGCCAGCCATGGTGGCACATGCCTATAGTCCCAGCTACCTGGGAGGCTGAGGCAGGAGGATTGCTTGAGCCCAGGAGTTGGAGGTTGCTGTGAGCTAGCCTGACACCATGGCTCTCTAGCCTGGGCAACAAAGTGAGACTCTGTCTCAAAAAAGGAAAAAAAAAAAAAAAAAAAAAGGCCTGCACCACACCTAAATTGCATATAATCAATATTCTCATAACCTATACAAGCCCCAGTGGACAGGACTATTTCTAGTTTTTCATTTTCCAGTGACGATAAAGCTGACTAGCTTGTCACGTCATTGTTTCTCTCTGGTTTTATTTGCCTTGTTCCTGTATACGCAGTTTTTCTAAATCTCATGTTTGAAGTTTGTCCTTTGCTCAGTGAACTGTGTCACTCATTGACATACACTCATTCTATCCACCTTGGCCACTCACCCCAAAACAGCATGTGGAACTTTGCTCAAATTAACGTAAATTGGAAAATAAGACTGAGCATTTAAGTCTACTCTAAGTGATATTAATAAAGATACCAAATGACACCAGCCTGGTACCCTCATTGGCAAATATGCTCCTTCTCTCCACAGATCCTTTTTGTGCAGCCAACCTAATTATAGTACAGCCTGTTCTTCTAGTGGAAAGTATATTGAATTGGGAGTTTAGATATCTAGCCCTAGGTCCTGGCTTTATTACTCAAAGATCTGTGACTCAGACAGGTCTTTTAAATCCTCAGAACCTCACTTCCCTCATCTGCAAAATGAGGAAGTTGAATTAGATGATCTTTAAATTCAGCAACCAGTTTGAAAACTGTTAGGACTAGAATGGGTTGAGGCTGTCCATCAAATGAACCCTGCTCTAAGCTGACTGAGAGGCAGACTGACTTTACTGTAAATGCCTCCCCTGTGTCTACATGATCTCTTCCTTTACCAGAAAAGAAAACCACACTGGCAACAGCTGGTTTGAAAAACACTAAGGATGAAAAATCAGAAAGAAGTCCTTGAATGTCAAGATATTTCACTAGAGTAATGCCTACCATTTTCATACAAGTAGCATTAATAAGGTAAAAATAAATTTAGAATTCAAGAACAGGCAACTATATTAAAAGGCATTTATTGCTTTTTTGTTCTTCCCTGGGCCTATATTTTAAACACAACCTCATGTTGAGTCCCTTATTTATGTCACAGAACACATAATACATTTAACACAGCTGTTTATGACAGCATGTTAATGAGCACATGTGCCCATTATCACAAATAAATAATCCACTTATTCTGAAACAGGGAGGTTATGACAATTTTCAGTGCTGTGAATGCATGGTTTGGGAAAGTTAAATGAAGATTAACTTTTCTTTAATAAAATTACCCTTGAGGTTTGCTGACAATTTGAGCTTTCTGTATTCTTTATAACAATTAAATTTTGAATATATGGCTCTGGAATAAAGGCACTTGACTGCTTTAAGTAACTTGCATTAGATAACTTAGTTTTTAGAAAACATGGACCAAGCAAATGGAATCCATTGAGAAATAATAGATATGTCTCCAATGGGCCCCTTTTCAAAGTTACAGGCTGCCTCTGACTCCCTGGTGAAGTATTTCACACAGGCCTAAGAAAAGTCCACATTACATTGGCTTTTATTTAGGTCACCCTCCCTTTCTCTTAGAGTACTAGTTCCTCTTGGAGGGATTTTGCCCACCGGTACATCCTACCTTAATATGAAATAATTTATAAAATTGTCCCATCCAAGGAGCAATCAACTACACTGATTTAATGTATGAGGAGAAGAAGGTATGATAAAATGGAAGAAGACAAAAAAGAAGTATAAATAACTTTGGAGCCTGTGGCACAAAAGTTTTGGTCTGGGGCACTCAAGAATTCCATAAAAGCACAGATCTCCTGGGAACTGCGTAAAAGAGGTCATGGAAAAACTATAGAAGAATGTATTTGAGAGTCAAAATTCACTAAACTGCCTACTTAATACTGCAGACCATTTTATGTTAGAATAACAATGGTGAGAATTTCATCTAGAAGAAAGCCTAATGAAGTTTGCTTGGTTTGGTTTCATATTTAAGATACCCAGTGGTCATTCTCTTGAACCCTCAAATAGTTACATTTCCTACCTTTGCTTCATAAAGGAAGCAATCCTTATGGCCCTGATATAAAATTACTTAAGGCAATTATATTTTGGAGAAATAGACTTGAAAGTACCAAAATCCCATCCATTAAGAAACGTGTACATCTGAGTCTGATAGCAGAGTTCATGGTAAGAATGAACGAGTCTCTAGCCCTTTCTCCCTCCAAATGTTGACTTGGGAAGATTTCTAAATCTTCAGCTAATAGTAGGCATAAAGCCATATATGCATTTAATTAATGGCTAGCTTTTCTCATCTGTGTTGGTCTGAGAAAAAGTAATTAAATGTCAGGTCAATATCAGAGGATCTCAGTCTCTTCCTCCTCATTCTCCTCATTGTCCTCCACCTCCTTCTCTTCCTCCTGCTTTTTCTTCTGTAAAACAGTAGTTTGTAAGCAGACACCAACATAACAAAACCTTCCATGTGTCCTAATGAGGATATAACAGAAGGACTACTCTTTAGGGGTGACTCAAAGGAGAAATATTATTATCTGTGTTAGTTGTATCGGAGGCAAATAAGCATTAGCAATTATACTGTCAAGGATATTTCAAGTTCAAATCAATTGAGTATCTAAAAATAGAAAAAATCTTTAATATATTTTAGAAACTCACAAAAATGATCAAATAGTAAAAATGTTTCTGTAAACTTAAATCCCCTTGTGCTTTCTCTCCTCATCACATTCTTGTTAATTTCAAAGACCATTCAGTCACAGAGGCAGACTAACTTAAAATGGGGTTTTTAAGGTATGACATTTTATCTACAATATCAAACATTGTTAAGTGTGAAAAATAATTCCCCGTGGAGTCAGAAATCTCTTTCCAAGTCCAAAATGTAAAAGCTTCTGGTTAAGGCAATAGAAGCTCAAAATGAAATTTATGAAAAGTAGCATGGAAGTAAAAAAGAAGCTCCTGAAAGATTTTGAGATTAGAAAATGTCATACAAATCCCCAAAGAACTTGCTATGCATAATTTTCTCTCTTTCAAATTACACAAACTTTCACTTTGGGCTGCTTTGAGTTCCTGATGATCCCTGAATCCTCATAATCAACCCAGGAAACCATGATCGCAATTGTCTCTTCTTAGAAATATATGCTACCATACCTGCTTCTTTTTCTGTTAATACAAATAAAGAGATCTCCATTGAAGGAACTTAACATTATTCTATGGATGATGCAATGTAATCTGCTTTCAATTCATCAAATGTCAATTACATGTGGAATTGTAACTCTGATCTTTAACCCTGGTAGAATCTTATAATACTTGTGAGGCTCTGCAATGGAGCAGGAGATTTAAAAACAAAAACAAACAAAAATGACTTAACAGGTCCCATAACCGTATGTGAACTTCACTGGGTTTAGAATATCAGAATATAAATTCTGAAACAGTGGTTCTCAAAGTACAGTGCCTAGACTAGCAACAGCAACACCTCCTGAGAATGTGTTA